ATAGAGATTTCAGTATCACCTTAAATAAAATTTCTGCATACAATTTCTTTTACAGTTAAATGTTGGAAACTTGTAACACAGAAGAATCTAGAAAATAAAAATGAATTAGTTCCTTCAACTAATAATGCCAATAATTCTAGAGATGCAAATTCATTGGAAAGTTTAATTGACAAAAAAGATTCGGAGTTACCAAATACTTATCCAAAATTATCTCAGTTGCAAGTATTTCAGAAAAATGTAAACATTGCTTTCAATGATTCACAATCAATGAAATGTGATAAAAAGGATAATATAGAAAAGTTACCATACAAGTACTATTGAAATTATCATATACATTTAATCTAATCAGTATTTAACAATGTCCTTAATAAAATTATTTGTGTTCAGATTTGCAGTGAAGCAAACAGAACAAAATAATGCAAATGTTTTACAAAAAACTGCATCTGTTACAGAATTTACTACATTCAAAAAACATTACTATGACACATTGCTGAACATCCAGAAGGCTAAAGGTTTATTTGCATTTTTATTATTTCTTTACATTTTGTGTAAGAATTTAATATTATGCATATATTGTTTTATAGTGGCAGTGGCAAATTCCTTGGCAATATCATCTGTGGAAAGTTCCACCAAATATGAACCATATTATTCAAGTTGCTCGTATCAACAGCAGCAACTGTTGCAACAACATGGTCAATTAACTATGAATCCACAATTTGCAGTGCATACCGTTGCACAATCAGGATTATCAAACATACATAGCACTCCATACACTTGGGTGAGATATAACAATTGGAGACATCCAACAATGAAACAATTACGATTTCCTCAACAGGTGAGACGTTGAATATCATTTAAATATATAAATATTCTCGAGTATTTCTTTTATTTTAATCAGTTTATTCTTTTTTAGTCCCCGTTTCAACATTCGAAGAATAAAGAATAAATTCTTCGATTATTATTCATAATCTGTTATTTCTTTTTTATATATCTTTTATAATAGATGTTTTAAATATTTCGATATTCTTTCATCAAAAAGAATTCTGTACTGCATTATATAAAAAAAAATGAATGTTCAATATTTTATCTAAGGTAAATAGTTAGAAAATTGAGAGTGACAAAAATTGGTAATACAAATAGTTAACGGATTTTTTTACTAGTCTCTGCGAAACTTTGAGATGTTAAAAATTTTAAATACATTCATCTATAACTGAAAACACTACTTGCACGTTCTGTTTCAGACACTGATACATAAAACGTAGTATCCTAGTAATGAAATTACAAAAATTATTCATAAAAGTAGTATTTGCTTAAGTAAAATTTACCAAGCAATACCGACATTCTAATATATAAGTAAAGGATTTCATTTCCCTAATTTTCTTGCACCAGTCTCAACAGTTAATGAAATATTGATACGTTCTCACGTATATACATATAATTTTGTCTGCTATTTCTTTGGCACTGGTAGAAGATAACAATTATAAGTGCTAGATTAATCACTAATAGTTTTCATGATTTCGTTTGTATTTCGGACGATTGCGTGACAATTTTTCTTTCCTAATTGCATATACGCAGGACATCCTTGGTGACGCCAATCAAACCTTAATACTTATAATATATTAACTAACAAATGTACATGTATTCATTGGTTAACATGGAACAAAGTTGCTTCTAATAACTAACAGTTTCTTGGTATATTCATTATTGTAACATATAACATCATACACATTTGTGACTTTGTATAGATTACCCCATACTGAAGTCATTCATTATGTATTCACACGTGTATAAAATGACTTTTAAAAGAATAAAGACAGTTGTCAACTTAGATATTATATGGATCATTAATTGTTATTGTCCAGAATAAACACTCTGAAGAACGACAAATTACCAATATACCAAAAGTTATGACTATGTAATTTTTGGTAATTTATCGAACTACATTCATTAACTTTCAATCTTCTTTATCTTGAAGAACATTTAATCTGTTACCCCTGCAGAAGGACTACGATAAAGACATATTATAGTTAACGTTTATTATTTGTTATCAGTACTGACAGCATCATCTGAAAACATACAAATACATTTATGTACACATGATGTTGCTCTCAATACTTAATATTAATTGAACAAAAAGTTAGGCCAATGGTTTCTCGCAGTGCATAGCTCATATTTGTTGTTTAGATTGTCATTATTCATCATTATAGTGATTAATGAACAGGATAGACATGCATAAGCAAAGCTTATTTAGATTACTGGTCTATACTGCTTTAAGAATCAGTATTTTGAATTTTACAAAAAGCATGAAAACATGTAATAAAAATTTTATTTTAAAATTCGTAATTCTAAAGTCAAAAAACTTTCGTATTCC